TTTTTTTTTTTTTTTTTTTTTTTTTTTGCTTAACTGTAAGTGGCGGAAAAGTTTGTGTTTAAAAAAAAACTTTAGTAAAAAATTCTTCGTGTTCTTAGGGTGTTCAATAAATGTATAATAGTGATCGATACTAGTAGTTATTGAAAACCCATAGGGACACGTTAGTCACTGTGGAGTTTTTTCTTTTAACTCTGGTATGATTGTGATTTCATCCAGTCTAAAGTCTTTACATTTGAAGAACTGTAATGCATAACAGCGGAAATATGAGCGGCTGGTTACTTGATAGAGGAATACATTTATGATTTACATAATTTACATTTATTCATCAAAACGTGCCGACCACCTCTAATTTTTAACTGAACTAAAAAAAAGCGCAAAGTTGGTATTTGTCTGGATCTGATCAGTGGATTGTCAATCAGAGCAAATTTACGGAAAATAGGTCGGTTCCGGTCTCCGAGATGGATTAGTGCAACTGTAGTAAAGAGCTAAAATAAAGATCTGATTTGTGTTAGCAGTCAGTAATGGTACAATATGGTGTGATTTAAAAAAATAAAAAACTAGTCGTTTGCCTTCATTGAAACATCATTTTAAGGCTTTAGTGTTCTTTTTTTTTAATGCAAGTCTAACCATCTGGTGTCAGCCCTCACTAACACACCGAGCTGCAACCTTGAGGGAGTGGAGGTTTTCAGTGGAGGGGAGGGAGAGAGGGGGAGTTGTCGGCGTTTCCCTCTAGACATGCATCATTTCAGCTGAACCTCCAGCTGCTACCGCAGAGATGGAGACTACGGCACTGCAGGAGTAGCTGCCACCACCGCCTCGCAGGAGATAAGTTTCTGACTTTCAACGAAGAAGGATCCTTATTTGTGGCTGATGACATGTAGAGGTGGTTCGGACTTGCAGTTGTCACCGGGTTGACACCTGTCCACCTTGAAGGAGTGAGGAGGTCGGTTCGGACAGATGGAACTCGTTGGTGCCGGATCTCGCAGCCAATCTCGGGGCATCGTTTGGTGCATTCACGATCATCTGAGCGTCACTTCTTGGCGCTAAGAAGAGACAGCCCTTCTCCCTCACTTCCTCTCCTTCTCCCCCCCTCTCTCTCTTTTTCTTTCTTTCTCAGTCTCCCCTCCCTGTCCGCGTTTCTCTTTTCTTTTCGCGGGTTCAGCCCAGACTGCCCAGTCAGTCAGCCCCCCTTTTTTTTCCCCCAGCGCCGGGGAAGCTGGTAGCAATGGGGCGGCTCAGTTTCAGCACCAAGGAGAGCGCTGGACTTTTGCTGCTCTGTGTGTGTGGTAAGAGCGTGAGTGTGTTGAGTGTCTGTCGGAATGTCGTGACTACTCTCTGCGGAGCGAACACGTGCACGCGCATGCAACAACTGCATGTATGCGTGCCTCATAAGGTGCATGTGTTCTTTCATCTTCATGAGTTGGCAATTTTTTTTTTTTGCTAAAGTGTTGCAAACTGACGTTTGAGGGGTGAGCTGTTGCTCCCCTGACGTTGCAGGTTTTACTTTTAGTGTTATGTAGATGTTGACTTCAACCCTCTACTAACCTCTGATCAGTCCTTCTGTTTTCTGCTGATTCTGCATGTTTTGCAGCTGCTTGTGCGCATGAGTGTGTGCCAACCATTTATTGCCCGGCAAGACACCAGGCTCTTTTCTCCACCGGGTGTGTTTCTGCTGTTATCAGGTGTGCTAGCGCTGCCCGCGGCGCTGGCAGAGCAGGAGGGGGAGAACCTGTCCGGGCTCTCGGATAACCCGGACAAAGCCATTTTCGCGGTCCGCGAGAACGGAACGACGTGCCTGATGGTGGAGTTCGCCGCCAAATTCCTCGTGCCATATGACGTGCTCGCGCTTAATGGGATAGACGTAAGGATTTCCCTCGCGTGCATTTTAATTCTCGTTTTAGCTTCTCAAAATAAGAGAGAAAAACAACATGAACGCTGCATAAAACTGTTCAAGATTCTTTTTTTTCTGGATCAAGTTGTGCTTAAAATAAGTCTGACGCACTGAAAAAATTATATATTTAAATTTATTTTAATTCATGTTGAGATAAATTTGTGGATACATTTAAATTGCAACCATGAAAAGCAGTTTTTGCAGCAGTGCATAAAATGCTGAACTTAAAAAAAAAGGTTACTTATGCCACTTAGAGATTACAGACCAATTTTATTAATACAGTGTGCAACTTGTCTTTATTTTATTTATTTATTTATAGCTCATCACAGAGCAGGCTTCTTTCACGCTGCCCCGTGGGGCAGAGATCGAGGGGAAATGTGGGAGCACCGACTCAGAGATCCACATCTCCTGGAAGAACAACGCCTACATCCTCCGCATTTACTTCTCCAAGGTGCATCAACGGCAAACAGAAAATACACTATAAAACAGAGTAGTGAACTTTTTTTATGATGATTAAAAATAGAAAAGGTTACTTTTTTAATAATTTCCTGACGAAAACCTGTAGAGAAATCTCCACACGCCAACCTCGACTCCTGCATTCCTGAGTGCTTGAGCAGGAAGCAACTGGACTTGTATTCTTGAGCACTTGGGAATGTCAGGTCCTGGATGACACAATCCACTCTGGCATGTTTTATCTAGGAGTTCCGCGAAAAGGGTATTGAGGTGTGGAAGAGCAACAAAATCCAGTTCGTCTACGACACCTCGGAGACCTCGCACTTCATCAACGCATACAACCGTGAGTGTCCCTTCCGCAGCAGCACAACACAGCGGCTCCTTCACAGCCTCCGGCCCCACTGCTGTGATCGCAGCTTGGCCGCATTTATTCTGCAGTCCATCGGGTGGAGTTAAGGACGAACTCATGCGGAGATTTAGGAAGTTCTCAGACATTTATTTACATACCACTGGAAGGTTTCAGAACATAAAAACCTTTAATCAAAGCTTTTGAATGTGAAACATAAATTTTTAACAATTTTCTTTGTATTAATTTATATTTTACAGTTAGTGCTGGCCGTTTCATCATCGTTGTTTTTATCAAAATGTCTAACAGAAAAATCCAAGTAGTAATTTTAATATAAAAAAAATCTTATTTGAATCGTTTTGTTGTGTTTTCCCCTTGACATTAAACTATTACAACTTTATTTCAACATTCTGTTGAAACAAACACTTTTAAAACACGCAACAGTGCCATTTGTTTCGTTTTATTAAAAAGTCCTTCATCTCTCTGGGTCTATAGCCGGAAAGCACACAGCCAGCACCCACAAGCTCTCGGCCCTGGTGACCCCAGCCGGGCACTCCTATGTGTGCACGGCTCAGCAGACCGTCACCCTCATCTCCAGCGATCACCAGAAGGGCATCACGTTCTCCATGTACGACATCCAGATCCAGCCCTTTGACATCGCCTCGGACTTCATCTTCAGCGCACGTAAGGACAGACGAAGACATTCAGCAGCTTTTTGTTTGCTCGTGTCAGACAAACAACAGATGAAGACGGTAATGAGAAATCCTGGGGGGTGAGCTGTACGTCTCTTCCTAACGTCCAAATCTCAGGGGAGAGGCAGGTTATTGCTGCAGTATGGGGAGCATGTAGGGTGAAATGAGAAAAAGAACAGGCTGGGGATGCACAAGAGACAATAGGCGCAGCGGGAGGACGACTGAAAGGAAAGAGGTTGAGGTCATTAGGACTTTATGGTATCTGTGCCCTGGATGCAGCTTTTAGGAACACTGCGTGCATTTCATTGTCCAGTCACCTTGGAGGAATCATGTGGCCTCAGCTGCAGTAAACTGTACTGGGCTAAGCTTCACTGCCTTTCTCCTTGTGTGCATTACAGCTGTCCACGGGGAGAAACACCTTCAACTTCAGACCCCATATGCATACTGTACTCTATTCTCAGCAGAGCTTAAGTGTCCTCCTTACTCTGAACCACCTAGCAGTTCTTAAAAATGCACTGTGTAAAGGAGAAAATGCTTTATATTGTTGCAAAATAACCCTTTAGCTTTTTCTGAGCACAGACTAATTTAATGTATTTTATTGGGATTTTATGTGACAGATCAACATAAAGGTTTTCAAATTATTTTAAAAACAAAAATTTGGTGACCTCCACCTAAATATTGCAAACATTAATCAGAGAAGCACCCAAGAGGCTTGTGGTAATTGAAGGAGGTACCGAGATCCACAGCCATGGATTATGTGCATTCCATTATGTACTTATCCTCATCTTTCAAAAATTACAATATAATTCAAATTAAAAAGTCATTGGTTGTAACATGACGAAGTAGAAAAGTTCAAGTACTATGAATTAGGTCTGTCACGATAACCAATTTTGCTGGACGATTAATTGTCTCAAAAATGATTGAGATAAACGATAATATTGTTTGAAGACCATTTTTAACTGATGTAATGGTAATGACATAATAATGCAAGCAATATCCTGCCAAAAATAGATGCACTTTATTTTCAAAAGTACACTAAACACTGGAACTGTCCGTCTGTAAACTAAATAAACAGAACAACCAAAAACTAAAGTAAAATGGTCTCCGTCTCTGTTGACAAAAAATGCACTTGAATAAAAACTAAACACAACATAAAACCAAAGTGGAAATAAAAACTACATTCAACCAAAAAAGTACAGATTATAAAGTCTGTACACCATCTTGCCCTTCAGTAATCAAGAGATTTAGATAGAGAAGATGGGCACATCCCACTACCTGATGCAATAGTTCACTCCTCCCTTAAGCCCAGTTCACACTACAAGATTTTATTTATTTATTGCCCCGATTTTCCGCTTTCGACAATCTTAGAACGTCCAACGATCGTAACCGATCATCCCGTAGTGTGTGGTGTATTACGACTGATCGGGTCCAGTAGGTAGAACGTCGGGACCGCTCTGATCTAAGTCAGGCATATTCAACATGTTGGATTGTCTTGGCCAGTTTATCACTGCGGCGTGTGTGGCTTTTCCCAATAGGGAGCAAGAACGCAGCCTGTTCAATGTGACAGGTAGCCAATCAGAAAGCGCGGAATCCCCTCCGTGCTTTCTGAAGGGAAAACATGGAGGGGAATCCCAAACAGCTGACACGGCGCAAGGAGAGTCCAGCGGACATTGGAAACATTAATGTTATTTAACATTTCGTGAGGGGAATAGCCACAGAAATGACAAGGAGAGGAGATGGAGCGAAATTGTTACCGCGGTTGATATACCCGGTAACTTTTCAGCTGTTCATTGTTAACGTGTCATAAATAGGTTATAATGATAAGACAATTCAATTCACGTGTGATATAGTGGGTTTTTACTGAATTTTCTGTCTGAAATCTGAATGTCGGTGAGAGAAATCGGTTCGTGTGTGGGTGTGCTGCTCTTGCTTTGTGGTTGGACACCACACTCGGCACGATCGAACCCGTTATGCTTACGATTTTTTTTTGTCAGCTAGTGTGTCTCAGGTTTTGAAAATGGGCAGACGATCAGCCAACAATTCCAAAATCGTGTAGTGTGAACTGGACATTACACTCAGAAAATTAGGAAGGAAGGGGTCAGTGGAGAGCACCGGAGTTGAGTCCTTTTTCATTCAATGTCATCAATAGAAAGAGAAAAAGGCAGGAAGAAACGATAAAGCCGATAAATTAAAATGAGGTCGATAATTTTCATTCATCATGCCATTAATTGATTTATTGTTTATCGTGACAGGCCTACTACTTTGGTCAATACAGCAGCGATGAAGCATCCTTTAACTACCAAGCTTTATGTCTTAACAGTTTGGTTCAATTAAAAGAAACTTGAAGTTTCTGAATCATTTATAGGGATACAATATTTCAATACCAATTTAAAAAAAATTGCAATTCAAACAAATTTGTTTCAACGTGTGAAAAAACACAGAAACCAAAACCTGGCCCAGCTCTAACCAAATCCAAACAAGCTTTCAAAGTACTAGATTTCTACAGATATTGCCGTCTCTACATTTTGCTCCTGTGTTTTCCTCTCTTTGCAGCCTATAAGTGCATCACAGACCAGCGGGAGCACCTAGAGGAGATCCTCCCCCTTATCCTGGGCCTCATTCTTGGTCTAATAATAATCATCACGCTCACCATCTACCACTTCCACCTCAAACTGACAGCGAATCAGCCACAGCTCCCAAGAGATCGCTCTATGTACAAGAACATGTAGTCAAGTGACGCATCGGCGGCGCCCCCGACTCCCTACAACGCTCTCCTCATGACAGATTTGTCTCCTCAAAGTCCTGGGCCTGAGGATTGCGTCCCCCACACTGGACTATGTCCCTGATTGGAAAAAGCGAATAGTCTGCACTGCCCACTGGAGCTTTTGAACTGTTAAAATTACGAGTTATTTAGACAGTTTGGGACATAGCATGAGTGTAATTGGAGAGTAAACCCACCCAAATCTAGTTAAATTCACTGCTGGATTGTGCCATACGTAGTTTCAAATAAAGTGAATTGAATTTTCTGAATTTTTTTCCCCCAAAAAAACTTTAATGAAGATGGTTTGTAACTTGCACAATGTTTGATCTAACTTGTCTTTCAAAACATTTCTAAATTCCTTGTTCCCCTGTTCCCTCTTTCTCTGTTTGAATTTGCTGCTATAGGAATCCATCTGTATTTGTAAACTTTGTTCCTTTCTTTTGGTTCTCATCTCTGTGCTCATACATCCAGAATGCAGCCATAGTGTTGACAGTGGACTGTCTTGTAGTGTACAGTGCAGTTTTGCCTGGGCATCAGACCCTATTCTTGGCACAGATCAACGAAAGAAAGATATATATAAAAAACAAAAAAGTCAAATACAAAACGTCTTACAAAACTTGAGAAAAAAAGTCAGAATAAGTATTTATGGAAATGTCGAGAGGTTAATAAAAATGTGTGTATATTATTTTTAGAGTGAAAGTCTATGCATAAATCTCTGCTGATGCAATCATGTGCAGTACTCTGTTCTGTTTGAAATAAATTGCTGGATACACAATTACCAAATTATTCTATTTCAGCATTTATCACACTACACAAACTATCAGCTATTGCATGGAATATATTTTAATTCAATGGAATGTTGTAAAAAAAAAAAAAAAAAGTATTTCTCCCTTTATAGGGAGAAATACTCCTGTAAAGGGAGAATAACTTATTTGAAGTTATTCACATCAAAAAAATTATTTTCAGACAAAGTTAACCTGAGTAGTTACAGAAAGTTTTCAAATCATGCCTTTTTAACTAAGGGGACAAAGCTGTCCAAAACAATACCACAATATGTAAAAGAAAGTCATAACTTTCTTTTTAAGTCATGACTTTTTTTCGATTCACATTTTTCCAATTTCAAATTTTCTGCCTGGACTTTACTAGAGTCCAGACAGACAACATTAACCAGGCTGAAAGATCCCATGATGTTCCGATCTGAGACACAAAGTCAATTACATCCATCAGTCTATTGAAATTTACGTAGCAATTAAGCTGTGGGATTACACCTGACCATGGTGAAAGTCATTATAAAAAACAGGAGAAAACATGGAGCAGTTGTAAAACCTTCCCAAGAATTACCAGCATCAAAATTACTCACAAAACAGCACCATCTAAAGCACAGCAGCCTTCACTTCTTTAGTTAAGGTCTGTGTTTATGATTCAACAGTAACAAAGAGATTGTGTAAACATGGCAACCATGGGAGAGTTCAAAGGCCAAAACCACTGCTGACCCACTTCACATTTGCAAAAGACTTCTTGAAAACAAAGTGAAACTTCCTATCAGTTGTGTCTCATGTTAAACTTGGCATAAATCTGACATTTCAGAAAAATAACTTTACTCCAGCAGTCAAACATGGTGGTGGTAGAGTGATGTTTTTGGCGCTTCTTTGCTGCTTAATGTAATTAATGAATCCATGAATTCTTCCATCAAGCAGAAAACCACGAGAGAGAAAGTCCAGCTATCAGATCGAGATCTTTGACACAACTAGCTAATAAATAATGCAGGTTAACTGGAATTGTTGACTGATACATATATCAGAGAAGACACTGCCAGGATGAAGTATTGATTTCCTCCAAGTCTGTGTCTTGAGAGGAAAATATAAGCCAGGAAAAGTCTAACTGAAAACACCATGTATATCACCGAGACTTATTCAACATTTCATAAACCACATATATCTTTAATTGCAACATATCTACCAAGCCATTTACTAAAGTTTTTAACTCACTGAATATTTTACTATTGGAAACACAAATTACAAATAGCCATCTTTACATGAGAGGTGCCTGACTTTCTATAAAATTTCATAATATATACCCCACAGGACGAGAACATTTTGCTTTCTGTTCCAGAACTTAAAGAAAGAGAGAAAGAAAGAAAGAGACAAAGAAAGAAAGAAAGAAAGAAAGAAAGAAAGAAAGAAAGAAAGAAAGAAAGAAAGAAAGAAAGAAAGAAAATTTCCTTTGTGCAGCTTGTTAACACGCCTATAAGGCGGGACTTGTTTTTGTTTATGGTGTCTAAGAGATATAATTGTAAGAAATTTAGAGTATAGGAGTGCTTACAACACTGACAAACACTGCAGTTGGTGGGACGACTCTCCTTTACGTCTAGACTAGAGATCTTGTAAATTCTGACATGAGAACTTTAGCATTGCTTTATCGAATAAAATAATAAATGTCCCTGTTCCAACAGAGTACAAGTCTTTCATGCAAAAGAAAACATTTAAAAAAAAAAGACAACTAAAAATGATACTGTAATAGATATGAAAGAACATAAAGTCTAATTGACGTTTTTATAGTTAAAAAAACGAAAATATTGCTATGGCAACATTTAAAGGTACAGTAAACCCACTGCGCTACGAACACAATGAGACACAAACACACACAACTCAAATTAATTCAGCCACCACCGTCACCTGATAACAAAAGACAAGCTTCGCGCCCTTCTTATGTAGCCATAAATTAGCAAAAACTAAAAACAAAACTACACATTCCTTAGAGCAATTAACCTCACCTGTGGTCCAGCGGACGGGTTTCACCCAGTAGCTTAGCCTCCAATTGACGTTCCGTTTGTTTAATCCACTGTAAATGTGTCCAGAATACAAAACTGCGTCAATTACGAGAGACAGCACGGCCCTGCTGTCAATTATTAGATTAGGAAAAAAAAAAGTTAAACATGTTAACAGAGACAAAAGCCTCACCTTCAACTTACTTCACCTTGAGAGTTGGTTCTCTTGAAAAACACGTAAAATCTCAAAAGTATACTAATGGAGCGGCAGAGACTGCATATTAAATAGTTTTTCCTAAAAGAATATTGCTGCAATTCATATGTCGACATATTGGGTGTTTTCCGTCTGACACGCTCACAGTGAACTTGACAGGCGTCATCTCATTAATATGACGTCATTGCACTGCGCCGATAACCAGCAGTTCTTCGCTGGGAATTTGACCTCACGCGTCGGAATGATACGCCTTCATGAGAACCATGAGTTTTTTAAACCCTAAAAACAAATAACTTCATTGTAAAGTGATACGAGAATAACGTGGCTCTCTACCATCAGTCTTTGTACAATCTCTCAAGATTAGAATGGACAGAAATCATGTATGACCCTCAGTTTTAATATTTATGACGAAAGTTCTTGGTTGGATTGTTCATTTTTAATGCATGCTTTGATCTACTGTATCTTTGGCTGTGTGTTCTGGAAAGATGTAGAGGTAAACCTTGCCCCAGTCTCAAGCCTTTAGGACCCTTAAAGAGTTTATTATCTCTCCATTATTGCGCTGTATATTTAGTGCCATCCGTCTTTATCGACTCCAACCAGCTTCCTTTTACCTGCTGAAGAAAAGCTTTCCCACAGCCTGCTGCTGCCGCAACCGTGTTTTACAGAGGTGATGTCTCAAAGTTGAGGTGTAATGTTAATTCTCCTCCACAACGTGTTTTGCAAGAGGGCCAGAAAGTTTCCTTGTGTTTTCGTATGACCAAAGCACCTTAACTGGAGGTTTCCAGGTTGGAAATGGCTTTCCTCTTGCCGCTCTTCCATTCAAGTAGTTCTTCCGTTAAATCCAGAACCCAGAAATACAAATCTCAGCAGCTCTTCAAGAGTTAGAGTCTTTGCCCAGCCTGTCAGCTTGGGTTTTTAATCGTCATTCTTTAATTCATTTTAGGTACACTCTTACGAGCTTCAGAGTAACCCATAAGTTTCATACAGTATTATTTTAATATGTAAATTGTTGGGTTAAAAGTAGTGTTTTAATGAAGTTTGTTTGTGGATTTATGACTTATTTTTTAATGAAACTGTCAAATTTTTTTTGTTGATTCTCATCAGTTCTGAATCATGAGGCGTAAACAGAGTTCCCATAGTAATTTCTTTTCAGTCTAACATAGATAGCTCCCTGAAAAGGAAAACAATTCACTCTTTTGATTGATTCGGAGCATACTAATGGTTTCTGAATCCAATCTGGCTTTATCCTAATTACACATTTAAACGTGTTTAACAACATCTAAAAAGGTTCACTGTGGCCGCCCTTTCCCACATACTTTTCATCTTTTCGCTCCCTGGGCTCAGGCCTTCCTCTCTGAAAAAGAAGCTCCATTCTTTGTCTGAACTAAATCAATATCCCATTACTGTGTTTCAGTGGGAAATGGCTTATAGGAAAGAAAGACCAAAAACATAATATATTATAGCAACCCCAATCCATGGATGTGTCGTTTTGCTTCTCTCCTAAGCGGCCAAGTTGGGGTGGAGTCGCTTAAAATGAGAACTTTTGAATTTAGAGAACATGAAAGACTTCAAAAAAAAAAAAAAAAAAACAGAGGAAAAACTGATGATGACTGAACAAAGCTCCCCCGGAGCAAACCGACAGTGTGCTTATAAACGACAACAAAAATCATCTCTGATTGATATGAGACACCGAGAGAGAAGTACGGTAGATCGGGAAAGGCGATGAAAGAAAAATCCATGCAACACAACTTGATGTTTTTTTTTATGTGCGTTTCTTTTTTTTTTTTAATTGAAACCAGCTTCACTGAAAACAAACATGCAATATCACTGTACAAGCCAAAACCACAAATAAGTGTATACTCATTCAGACGCTGACCCAGTGTCGAGGATTAGCGGGCGGGCGCACGACACGCAGGCACACGCTTTCAGATGCTGTACAGAGACACGTACGCTCCGACTCTTTTGCTCTTCGACAAACACAGACTCACGCTCACAGTCATATGTACATATCACAGTGACTGATGGGTAAAGAGGATGTAGGGAGGAGGATTACACTGTTGCTCTGGTTCGACTGGAGATGAGAATGGCAGCACGGTTCCAGTGACGACAAGAGACGGAGGTGGGATGAGGATGCGAGTGAAAAATAAGACTTTTTTTTTTTTTGTCAGCATCCTGATCGCTGTGTGAAGCTAACTCGAAGTAGTAGTTAAGGAAACTCATTAACCTAATATGAAAGAAAAATAAAATAAGAAAAGGCAAGGAATATCTTTCTTTTTCAGTTTTTTTGTTGCCAAATCCACACAATCTGTGCTACATTGAAATGCATGGTGTTACAGTATCATAAAAGCTGGGCTTGATGGTTTTACAAATAGATTTGGGGTATTGCTTGGATTACATAACAACTGATATCACTGTTTTTGCCCGAGTGCATTAAGAATCGTGGAGAAAACATGAATGAAATAAAAAGAAAATAAAAAACAGGAAAAAAAAAGAAAGAAAAAAAGGCCACACTACAAATAAAAATGTCACCCCATATCCAATAAATAAATAAATAAATACTTCAAAATGTCATAGAAAATTCTGACATTACCCTTTTTTTTTTCCAAACATTTAATGGAAGTTCTGTCTACAAATGTTGAAATCATAAATATATTAAGTACTTTTAGTAACAGTTAGGTTTAGCTGGATTTATTTGGAATATCTCTTATATCTTTAAGCAAAAACTGGATTATAAACAGTAGGAAAGATCTCTGCAGAAATTCTATTTAATACTGCTCATATCACAATAGTTACGACACGATAAAATACTGCAAATTATCAAAACTGTACAGAAAATGTTACAGGTTTTTCTAAAATACATTTTCGCGTTTTGACGTGTGTGTGTGAGAGAGAGAGAGAGAGAGAGAGAAAGAGAGAGAGAAAGAGAGAGAGAAAGAGAGAGAGAGAAGAGAGAGAGGAAGAGAGAGGGATGTGAGTGACCTTGTCGGAGCTAGCCTCGGCTGCTAGGACGCAGCCTGTCCCTCTCTAAATGATGGACCGATGGCGGTCAGAAGCCTCTCTCTTCACACTGATTGTTTGGCCCTCTGCTGCTCTGCTTTGGAGCAGTGGGGGTCACTTAGGTCCTTCTGCCTCGCCAGCAACTCAGCGCACCCTTCAGAAGCTGTGGAAGGCTGATGGCTACTATGAGTCTACGTGCAGCTGGAGACTCTTGAGTCTGGGAAGAAAGAAGAGTGCAGCGTCGCGAACCGGCTCACGCTTCAACAGAACGTCCCGATAGCTCCTTCTCCTTCTTCTTCTCCTTCTTCTTTTCTGTGTGCGTGTGTTTTTTAAACATACTTCTTAAATATTCCTCGAGCTAATCTACGTTTACGGTTACAGGTGTTAGTGGCGGGCCATCACGCAGTAGGTTGTTTTGACTGGGTGAAGGCGGTGCCACCCTTAAGGGGGGTGAGTAAGCATGTGATTTTTTGCTGTTTTTTTTAGTGTGGAAGAGGACGCGATTAGGCCAGGAGATCAACGATGGCGGTAATGTCTCATGAGGGGAACGATGCAGGACGGCGGTCCGGACATCTTGAGGAACGGGTGCTGGATGAGCTCCTGGGCAGTGGCTCTCTGCGATGGCTCCCTCACCAGCATCATGTCCAGGAAGGACCGCAGCACCGACGATACCTGCAGGATGCGACACGCTTGTGTTTATTTTTAGCTTTTTGAGTTACTGCAAAGTAAACTGCAGTAGGCTAATTACGTTTTTCAAAAGTTAGAAACACTTGCGAGAGAATGTTCAGTGACTAGAAAAGAGCTGTTTAGATTTGTTTTAGCTCAACAAGTAGGGAACAAACTGTAGAGCTAATGAAAGATTCATTTGAATGTGGATGAAGTTCTAGTTTCGATCATTCACCTAACAACTAGGGCTGCACAATTTAAGGTAAACTTTACATTACAATTTGCTATGACGACATCCAATATGACCTAAAGGTTGCAAAAGCTGCATTTATAAAGGTTTATAAATGCAGCTAAATAATTCCATTGTGCACTGATTAGCATATTTTTGTGTCACTTTCCATTTTCTCCTAATCGCTTTCAGATTGATTACCATTGCCATACTTCAGTTACTGTTATTCCCGATTTTGTTGAGTCTGAGTCAAATTCTGCAAACCCAATTGTTAAATGTTGCCGAATAAAGCTGTAAACAAAACAACCAACCATTGAACTTATCACCATGTACTTCCATCTTTTCTTGAATAGCCCTGAACTGTTTCTTTCCGTACCTTGTGGGATTCCTTTAGCCGTGGGGGAAGGTTGTCTCGTATCCTCCTCATGGCCTGCAGAGGGGGCTCGTTAAAGTAAGGGGGTTCTCCGTCTACCATCTCGATCACCATAATGCCTAAAGACCAGATGTCCACCTGGACACCCAAAGAGACCAATGCGTTACTGCTCACCAAACCCTCTCACAACCGACCACCTCTGTGGGGACACGGGTGCACATGTTCTGACCTCAGTCCCGTAAGGTATTCTTGAGATGACCTCCGGTGCCATCCAGTAGGGAGTGCCCACAAGAGATTTCCTCTTCGGCACCTCTTTGGAAACTTGGGCACAAAAGCCGAAGTCTGACAGCTTGATCTGCAAAACACACACACGCACACATGCAGATATCCCATCAGGACATGTAGTGGGAAATATATTAGATCAGAATTATCCTGACCCCATGTGATGAAGAGCTTCGAGAGAAGACACTAATCTCTCCTATTAGCAGTTAATTATGCCTCAGTTAATCATGTCTTATCAAGTAGTTAGGAGGCATTATGTAGGATTTAATTACTCGGGCATGAGTTGTAATTGATGAATGAGTGAGTTTCTCACACTGCCTGTACTGCACCCACGAAGAAGGGTCAGAGTGCATTAATGTCAATAAGTGGCCAAAGCCTGGAGTACCTTTAAGGACAAACTGATTGCCTAAAAAGATCGTGTGCACTGCACTTACCCTGCCGTCGCTGGTCAGCAGGATGGAGTCGCTCTTTATGTCTCGGTGAATGACGCCCTGTGTGTGCAGGTAGGACAGAGCTCTCAGCACCGACAGACACACCGTGGCAATCTGCTCCTCGTTCATCCTGCAGGAAGCAAACGCAGCTGTAGGCGCGGGTCGGTAACCAACCAGACCACAAAGGTAAAAGAAAAAAGCTACGTATTCAATGCTGTAACGGTTTTACATCATACTTCCGCAGATTTCAGCCCTTTGAATCAGATGCCAAGTGATTCAGTTGACAAAGCCACCATCTACATTTCTACTACACAGGTGACTGAAGGCTGGCTACGTGAGCTAATACCTGCTAATGTTATCTTATACCTTATACCTTTATGTATTCCATAGAAAGCAGAACATTTCATCAAGTCATTTTTGTTTTGCTTTGTGGTGTCGGACAGCTATAATGGGTCAGACGTCTGAAGTGGGCACGCTGCATGCGCAGAAGCTGAAAAGTTGTCATGTTTTGAGCTTGAATGAACTTGGTCTTGCCATCTTTAGTAACAAATAACTTCCACACCTCTTGCAGAGGCACTAACTTTATTGATCAATACAGCTAATCTGAAATCTACTAAGGAAATCATTACTTTTTTTGACTCAAAGTAATATTAATGTTTTTTTGTTGTTGTTTTGAGAAATGAATCAATGCTATAAAATCAACAAATATTTTTATATTGGTTACTGAGAAGGGTGTCAATCAGTTTTGACATGCATTGTGACATAATATGAATATTATGACTATTATTTTTTTGAGAAATGCCTGATTTTCCAAAAGAAGCGTCTTTGTCGAATAAAAACAATCTGCCATGGGTTGAGTGCATGGATTTTCTCTTGAGAACAAAACCCTGTAAAAGTAATTTTGGGCATAACTGTGTGAAATACCAGGCTGCATATAATGTTGCCTTGTAGGAAAAAGGTCGTAGATTTGAATCCAGGTTTCATTTTGGTCTGCGTAGAGTTAGCAAAACAACAATTTTGCAACAATTTTGTTGTATTTTACTCAAGTCAGACCATACACCTAGAATCTCACATTGCCTAATCCATCAGAAAAATTACACTTTTATTATAAGAAAGCAAACATTTTTAACACATCTTTAGACTTGAAAGTCTTAATTTTAAAGCCCTGTAAAAACCGAACGTTAGCCGAACAAAGAGATGCGGTTTAGAGATGCAGTTTGCTAAACATCCCCCCTGTAGCCTAGAGCGGCTGCAGCCATGATGTTCAAGCAGGCAGGAGGGTCCCATATGGAGAGACAGGGCGATGCAGTTCATCTGACTGAGCCCACACAGCCTCACTGAACATTAACATCCAGACCCAGCTGGCCTGGCCATCCTGTGCATTTTCTGAGAGACTGTGTGCTGATCTCTCCTCGTTTATATTTGTGGAAAACTCCACGGAGGGACACGCAGAAGCGTTGCGCCTGCATGTTTGTGCGTGCAAATGCAGCGAACCATTCAGTGCGCACTCTTCTCCAACTATAAAAGGATTTACTCAAAAAAAAAAAAAGTTTCGTTGTGACAAAAACATGCACAGACACACACATATATCATCGCTTGGTGCAGATTTCTTTCCTTCTTCTTAATTTTTTTTTTTTTTTGTTATTTTATTTTAGTCACACATGTAAGCTTTTCCAATCACAGGAGTTTAATGAGCTCTCAGCAAATAGAGGGGGGAAAGAAAACACCATCTGGTTAACTTAAAATGAACAGGATTGAGAGGAGTACGCAAAAACAAATCACCTCTGCAATCTCCCCCCAAGCCTCCACTCATACGCTCCCTCTTTAGCACACACACACACACACACACACACACACACACACACCCACACACACACACACACACACACACACGTGAACAGTGGAAAAACATGTTCACTGAAAAAGGAAATTGTTTGACAATGTGGAAAACAACTTTAATGAGCCTAGAAAGGTTGTCAAGGGGAAAGAGAATAACACATGGATGAAAAAAATGCAGCTTATTATACAGATTTTTTTTTTAAAAATCTCATTAAATGAGGTACATTCTAATTGAAATCTACACTATGACATTTAATTGTGCCACTGGCAACATGACTGAAAGAATGTGTGTGTGCGTGTGTCACACTTGAGTGTGTAAGCTGGCTGCCAAGAGCAGAAGAAACTGATGAGGCCACAATGTGCAACCTGCAGCTGTTATTAAAGCAACAAAGAGCTTCACAGAAACACTGGGAAGATTTCAGCTGGACTGAAAATACACTATAATATACATATATTTTTTAATTTACTCTTATAGTTTTCATCAAAACTCCATTAGGCGAAATCATTCAGTATTCCAGAGAGAGCAGTAAATCTAAGAATGATAAATAATTCCTCAGATTTATGAGATTTGTTGAGATTTTCGTTTTGGTTCACTGAAACAACATCCAAAAGTAAAGTTCAGAGAGAGTGAGGTAATGTTTTTTTTTTTTTTTGCCAATCTCTCCATCAGTATTTCCAGAAGCATTCATGTGTGCCTAAACTTTCTCCCTTACACACACACACACACACACACACACACACACACACACACACACACACACACACACACACACACGACACACAAACAGGCAAACATCTGCGTGGGAGAGCGTTCAAAGTCCTTCACGGCAGCAGCGGCGCTCGGCCCCAACAAAGCGTGTTATTAGCAGCCGACACCGCGCAGCGTTACTGCTGACACTCAACGCAAATGACTGTAATTACACACCGAGCACAAAGTAAGCTTAAAACAATGAGGAAGAGCCGCTTAGAAACACAACTCAGCTACACTATCACTATTTAGAAAGTTGGTGAGTGGGGGAAAAAAAAAATCATCTTAAACTGTTGAGCTGGTTTTGGATTGAACTTATCCATCTTTGTTATGTTTCCTCTAAATAGATTGGATGGACGTTTCCAGGTTTCTATGGTTTGAGCTGGTCATTTGTTTTACAGTTTCTTTTAGAGTTCAGTTATATTATTTGTTTTCCAAATTGTTGTTTTCTTACATTTTTATGTGGAAAAATAACTATAGAACAATAACCAATTTGATTGAAAACCATAATCAAATTTACAGTAGTTATTATTGCCAAATTAAAGAAAATTGCAATGGAAATGAAATGAAATATGTAACATAATCTGCTTTTCAGCTACTCTAATAACTCCTGAAGTCAGTTAACCTTTAGCCAGATGTCTAAGGACTTTGATTTTCAGGACTATCTGCTTATAGTAGGACAGCAAAAATACTAAATAATATGTTTAATTATATATATATGCGTACAAATATATATTTGTACATATATGTACATATTACCTCCTCTATTTTCATATCCTTATTCTCAAGGCAAACTTCCAGGTAAAATAAACATGTTATAGAAATAAAAAGATTTCTTTAAACCTAAAAATGCCACCGTTGGTTGGAAAGTCAAGATGCAACTTCTACTACTATTCTATTACAACTATTACTAATAGCATTACAGGTGTAGATAAACCAATTATTCTGTTGGCTTTACTCAAAATATTTCGCTTTTCTGGCTCCAAAAACCCCCAAAAATAAATAAAGAAATAAAATGATTGTGGAGTACATTTAAAACCCATGAGTCTTTACTGATATTAAGCCTCAGACCAAAGCTTTTCACATGTCAGCAGTGATTTTTAAGCCGAGTTTGTGAAGCGTGTTCGGTCACCTGGTGTGAGTCACAATGTCGGTGAGCGCCCCGCCCTCCAGGAACTCCATGACGACCCACAGCTCGTCTCCCACCAGGTAACTGTTGTACATGTCCACGACGTTTTCATGATGATAGTCCCTCATGATCACCACCTTCAACAGAGAAGGATGGGAAAAGCTGAATGTAAATTACCGTTTCAGAAATTGCTTGTCTGTACAAAGGTTTGTAGAAATAAAAAGAAATCCAATTTACAACACTAAAGAAGTCACATATTCAACAATCAATGTCAAATCCATTGCGTTAAACTAAAATCTGTTTGAATTTTCACGAGTGAAAATAAAATATGTTCTACAAAACATCTTACAGTTTTGCCTTTTAATAACTATAACTTGTAATTTATTGGATAAAATGTAACGTTTCCCTTTTGATGCAGGTTTAACCTTAATGGGATTACATTCGGAAATAATAGGATTACATGAGGCAAATTGAAAGTGAAGTGAACAACCGCTGCCTCAAAGCAGTGCTTATCCATGCACCCGGCCTCTTTTTGTCTATCCAAAACACAGAAACCAGAACCTAGATCCACTTCAGCCTCCATGTAACATTAGAACCACTGAGCAGTTTGTGACGATTTGTACGTATATAAGCAAGAAAGAAAAAAAAAAAAAAAAACTAGCTAAAATTTCCAGTTAAGTCTACTGTGTGCATGCACATCTCTGAATAAATTACTCGCTTAAGGCTTTTGCAGTAAACACTTGCTCAATTTGCAAATAAATGCAATTACAGATGCAAAAATGTCTTAGTAATTGAATTGCCTTCGCTATATATAAAAAAAAAAAAAACAGTGGCAAGATTAACTATTTTTTTTATTACCTGACAAAAGAGATTTATTTTGTGTGTGTTCCACACAAAGTAGCATGTTTAACGATGCTACACAGACCAGCTCCTGTTCTGCTGCTGCTTATTGAAGACGTCAACAATCTGTGACAAATAATATCCGTACAGGAATCCAAAGTGAAACCATTAAATTCCTCCTGGAAACAAATCTACCGGGATAATCCCTCATGAACATTAAAAAGTTAGCAGTAAGGTTGAGCTGTATCAGTATTTGTTTTTTTCCCCTCACCTCGTTAAAGAGCAGCTCTCTCCTCTGCTGTTTTCTGAGGTCCATCTTCTTGACCGCCACCTGCTTGCCGCTGTGCTTCTCGCTGGCGATGCACACGATCCCCGTGGAGCCCTCGCCAATCTTGATGAAGTTGTCCAGGTATTCCCGAGGGTCGCCTGTTGGCGAGCAAAGCCTTTTCTTAAAAAAAAAAAAAAAATCCCACTCCGAAGGAAGCCACAGCATCCATCTGTGCTTCCGTGCTTCTTTTCTGCCGTTCTCACCTGGGTTGACCACCAGCTGGAGTGCAGCTCTGAACTGCTCATGGGAGACTCTGGAAGGCTGCGTGTCGGAGCTTGACCCCCACGAAGGAGGAGGATAAGCCCCTGGGGGTATGTAAGGGGATGAAGGCTGCGAGTAGGCCCCCTGGATGAACGCAGATGCATTCACATGCAAATCGAGACAAAACAGAAAGAATAAAGACGTTTCGCTTTTGTAATTTTGGTGGGATTCTCTTTTTAAAAAAAGTTCTGAGCACAGAAAAAAAAGGGGCTTTGGTAGGTTTCGCTAACTCACTTTTAAGTGTCTTTAAAGGCATTTTTGAGATCATTATGAATTAAATTTAAAACATATATTTTCACAGAAATGTACAAACTTTGCCCAGGCAACATCTGGCAAATTTACACTTAGCGATGGTAGATGCAAAACCATTAATGCTAATGTTTTTGCCTCAACTGTCTCGAGTCAGAAGAATGCAATGAAGATGTCTGACCGTGACTCAAATTTTTTTTTGAGAGAGAAAAACATATACAAATCAAATACCTCTGTCAAGACAAACCTAGGGCCTGTAATTGACATAATAAGGGCTAACTTGCTTTTCTTTATGAATTTAAAAAATTTAAATGTGAAACCTCTGGAGATGATTTATATAGATTAAAATCAAGAAAATTATGAGCAACCCTGATCCTTTTAATGAGATTATCTGAGGAAACCAGAGTGTCTTTAATCTTTAAACAAACAACCATAACCCTCTTTGAATAATCTGAATCGACATGAGTTAAAACAATATTTAATTTCCCTTTACGATCAATAAAGCATTTGTGAATTTGAACTGAATTTGAATCAGGTCTTAAGGTCTTCATTTTAGATACACGATTTTAAGACTTTCAAAAACTCCTCAAGGAAGTGTGTGGACACCCTAATAAAAACTCATTTCCGGTGCTAATTTGGCAGAAAATGATCATCACATAAAAAAAGGGAAAAAGTTATTTCAGTTTACGCTGTTGTTATTATTATAATACAGTCAGTAAATGTTATTTAGAAAGGCATGTTTTTGAAGACCGGAGCCTACTGTACCTGCGGGGTGTACGGTGGGCTGGGCTGGGAGGGGGGATGATGGTACGGAGAGGGCTTGTAATGGTGAAACATGGGGGGATAAGGGAGGTGTGCTGGTGGGTAGCCAGGTGGTTTGGTGTGGCTCTGAGGTAGCTTGAGAGGCCCTCGAAGGTAGGTGTCGCCACCTGCGACTTGGGGACTTTCGTCACGCAATGAACGCTCATAATCCCCCTGAAAGAAAAGGGCCAGTGTTGGTGATTTAAACCTGACATACAGGTCAAAAGACAATTCATAGCCGGGATCTTCATGATGTTTGACTGACTCAGTCAGACATGTTTAAATATTAAATTTAAAAAATGTGGAAATGAGTATTGGAATAGAAGTGTCATATGGAGTTACAAACCGATGCAGATTACGTGACTTACAAGCCTGAGGTAGAATGAAAGCCTGAGGTAGAATGAAATGGGGTTTTTTAATTGTAATTTACCTAATAAATGTAAGCACATGGATAGATGGAGAAAATGTAAAGCATATATGAAAGTGTGATGTGTTTTAAACATTCGTGTACGAGTTTAAAGAAAAAATCTAGGAATTCATATGACAAATATCATCCGTAAAAACCGCACTGGGGAAAAAAAAGTCTCAGACTAAATTAAATTACTTACGCCACACCTTCCAGGAATGATGCTCGACCAGCATTTTTCTTTTCTTTTTTTTTATTCTTCACAAGTATCCTGAGGGTAAATTAAAATCCCCTTTATCCTCCCCTTTATTGCCTTCCTTCTGTGCCATTTGTCTTTACCCTGACACATATACACTCCCACATGTGTACAGACAGGGCAGGAGGAGGAGTCCTGATGTGTTGGGATGGTGTATAATTACATGGTTTGGACTCTTTCAATCAATCAGTGTGAGGCAGGTGTTGGAGCGGGAGCCGGGAGCCCCCCGTTACTTATTTGCCCCCCTCGGTCTCCTCCCCAGCCTCACCCGGAGTCGGCTGGCGCTGTAAGCTGGCTGTCAGCCAAGGGTCTCCTGATCCATGTTGGTTAAACGCACATTAATCTGAGTTTGGCAGGGTAATCAACAACCCAACTCAACTGTGAAATTGAATTCCGCGGTGGAACATCGTTCGGCCAGTTTTATGCTAAGGCTGCAGAAAGGGAAAGTGCCGCAACATCAATTTGTCACCGAGAGCTGCCGCACCGCGCTCTCGCACTCCGGCACGAAACACGGAGGCAGAGAGAGGGGAGAGGAGACTCCATGCTGTCTACGATTACATCCCAAACAGCTCCCAACAATAGCGGGGAAAGAGAATGATTTACTTTAAGGGTGTGTGGGGGTGTGTGAGTGGGCTGACGGAGAGAAAAAGAAGAAATGGTTGCAGAGGGAAGAGAAGGCTGTGCTGCGCTACTCCTTTTTTTTACCTTTTTTTTTTTACCTCTATTCCTTTTTGAGCACGATCTTAAACAATCTAAGAAAGCATTAAGCGCATTAACTCTCACGTTGTCATCATTTGGAGAAGAACTAAAAATGCTGCTGCTGTAATGCTCTAAATAGGAAAATGCCATGTCAGCAGTTTTATAATAAGCCTTTATATCTATGGAACCTTTTAAACATTATTTTGTGCTTTCAAATGAAATTAGAAACATTATTCCTTTGCTGCACAGTTTGTGAGTCTGTGCAAAAATAACTAGATAAATACAAATGGCCAAACTTGCATTGCGTCGATAAAAAACAAACAAACAAACAAAAAAGAAAAAAGAAAAATGACCTTCTCCCGAATCACTTTTCTGCTACTCTTGCATTCTCTCTGGCTGTTTTTTCTGAGTGGCTATTTACTGAGGCGCGCAGGTTAAATGGGTTTTCACTGCGGCACCCTGGGATCTACATCAGCAAACCCAGTTTTCCCTCTCCGCCGCCCGACTTACTGTGAGGAAGGAAGCGAAGTGGTGAGCTGTGATAACGATAATAATGAGCTTAATGAGGCTTCGATGGCTCCGAAGAGTGATGCGGAGACTTCACACACCTTACGAAATGACCACTTTTCTCTCGCTCATAATCATATTTCACCCCCTGATGTTGCAGCTATTTGACTCTTTTCTACTAAAGGAAAACATAACTCCTCAAGAGATTGGCTTAGGACAGTTCATTCAAGGAAAAGACGGTTATTTTAGGACCCAATATTGAGATACTTTGTTATTTGTGAAAGGCAATTTTTAGATTTGCTGCTGCAGTTTACAACCATTATTTTTAGAAGTATAAAAAATACGCAAGAATACTTCTTTGTCAAAGTGAAGTCTGCGTAGCAAAGCGCTATCCTGTTGTTCTCAGCAGGTGACCTTTTCTTGTAAGTTCAAGCTATTATTATTATGGATATGAAGGTAGTAAGCTCAAATGTCTAAAAATGGTCATTTTGATTAATCATAATTATGTTCAAGAGATTTTGAATATTAATAATGGATGCGTTACCTTTCAAATGAAGAATCCGATTTTGACTCGCCAAAACATAACTGATATCTTAAATTATTATTCCTACTAGTCAGACTTTGAATGGAGATACCTTAAGTCACCAGTTGAGAGAGTCAAAGTGTGGCTTCAAAATGTTATTACGTGTAGTGAGTTGAAACAAATTTTATGTTAAAACTGCCTGCCATAAGCTCAGTGTAGGAAGCAGAATGGGCGACGCCGTCCAAGCAGAGTTTTCTATTTTAGTCCCTTCTCTTCAGTGTCCTTTTAATTGATTCAGCTTTATGAGAAACATCTGAACATACGGTATATATTTTCAAGTTCTAGTAAGATAGCTCCCAAAATGCTTTTACATATCTAAACATGTTCTTCTCGTTTTAAGCAATGCAATAGTTACTCTTTTACAGTATAGTAACTCAGTTACTAAGTGGGCAAATTAGTTCTTGTTACCAGATTTTTTTTTTTTTTTTAAGTAACTAGTAACTAATTACTTTTGACAAACAGCTTGACAAACACTGAATATTTATAGGGAAGAAAAAAAATGCATTCTTTGTTTTTTGTGGTTTAAATAATATTGTTAAATTCTTGTTTGGCCTTGTTCTCCTGAATCTAACATCCTGTATAGTCTGGTCTTGTGAGCCAGTTGTATTGTCACACCTACCATGTACTTAGACATGAGTGGACATTTCCTATTGACAATTATATTCACTACAATACATATCTGCTCTATCTCTAATTCTGTGTATTCTCAACATGACATTGGTATAACTGCATTGCTATTGTGCCACATCTTTGCAGATGACATGCTGATGTGAATGGACCAAAAAACAATCAACCTAATCTAAAGTTTTTCTGCAAGTTGTCAATCTCAGTTCTTTCTACTCGGTGCTGAGAGGAATTATTTTTCCTTTAGGCCCATCATGCAGCATTATTGAACTTATTACAGTCTTCCAAATGTAACTGGACAAGAATAGAAAGATCAGTCTTACTCTCTGTAATGAGATTTCTCCTTTCGTACGTTCATGTCTGTCTGATTCCGTCCAGAACAACGACTCTCCTCCACTCCTTTTGTTCTACGTTCCTGTCCAATCAGTCAATATCAGCATTAATTGATCTGTTTGCAGCGACAGCGGCCACTGCAGAGGAGTAATTCTTTATGTGGCAGTTCCTGCCTCCTTCAGGGAAGAGTAAATTAAAGCTGACACCATCTATCAGGCCTAGGGACTACAGTTAAGGATCACAATGAGGAAAGTGAGAAGGAGTGGATTTTCAAAAGAACTGGAGGTGGGTGAGAGATGGAACTAACTGTAGGGATACTTCTGTGTAATTTTCTCTGAAATATTGCGACAAGCTCGTCAGGGGGCGTGATGAAATGTGTTTCCTATAATTTGATCGCTGGACAATTTAAAGTGAACGCCATAAACAAAAAATTAAAAAAAGTCCCTGTCAATGTTTAAGATTTTCACTAAGAGAATCTTCAGCTTTTGTGTTTTTAAACGCTCACCTTGCCTATCGTTTGCGAATTGGCGAGACTCTCGGAGAGGCGAGGGTAGGTGTAGGAGCTGTAAGGGTGGGCCTGAGGAGGGTTCCTCAAAGCCCCGCTGGCGGCATAGGGAACATTTTGCTCCTGCAACCCGGACCCTGACCGAGATCGCTGCCTGATAGCTGGTGTCGGGCTTGTCTGGGTCACGTAGGAGCTCTTGGGTCTCTTGTCATATTCGTCCCTCAAGCCGCCATAGCTCCACTCGCTGTCCGGGTAGTTGATCTGCTCGCTGTGGAGAGAGGCCCGGGAAGGCGTGCCAACCGAAGTGTCCCGGTAGTCCTGACTGGACGAGCCCCCAACTGACGCTCGGTAGTAGCCGCTGGAGCCCACTCCGCTACCAACCGTGGAGGCCACCTCATCGGCTGAGCGCCCTTTGCTCTCCAAATAGGTGTGGTAGTCTGGCGGGAGCTTCCCATAGTCTGATTTTTGAGGCATGGCGTCGGGGTAGAAGGGGCTGCGGATGGGGTGGGAATGGCCGTTCTGCTTGGTGAACCGGTAATGCCTCCCAACAGCCCAGTCTCCATCTATGGAGAAGCTTGGCTTGCCGGCTTCCAGGGAAAAGTCCCTGCTGGAGGTATCCAGATCGCACGAGTAGCGGGAGTAGTAGTGGTTGAATCCATTCTCCTCTAGAGCGGCGAGATGTCCGCTGCCTAGAGGTTTGGAGCTGATTCCAGCCTGCTGGACGCCCGGTGGGCTCTCTTTTCGCAGGGAGTTGGAGCGTGTCACTGAAATGTTGTCAAACTCCTCTAGCAGGCCGTTAATAGATGCATCTTTGGGTGGCCGGTTCCCTCGAACAATGGTCTAAAGGAAGAACAAAGACATTTACATTTAACACACAAGAGAGCCTGAAACCTAAAAGCACAGAGGGACACAGCCATTGGGTTGGTAGATAAAGTTATAATTCATTCATTCCAAGCTGGAAAGTGAATAAAATGAATTGAAATCCTTGTTCAATCAACCTTCGTTACAGCAAACATTTTTCAGGACGGAATTTCAATTCATCTGTATCGGGGCTTTGTAACAAGTATGAAATGAATCATCACTTGCAGTAAATGTCATCTCAAAGAACGGCAGGCATCAGTTTATGGAACCACTAATTGTAAGAAATAAAAACATAAAAAATGTAAAAAATAAAAAAATAAATAGCATGCTAAGAAGTGCATTAAGATAAATGGTGAAATACCTCATGAGCTAAAAAAAAAAACAGCTCTGTGGATTAAAGGAGCTAATTCCTGCTCCATTTCCCTCGCAACAGATTAGCTTCATTTCCAGTGGGCTGATCAGGTTACATTAATAATCGTGAAGTGGGGTTTCATGCTTACGAGTCAAATGAGCACACCAACATGCACCTACAAAGAAATGAGTAAGTCAGGGAGAGAGCGGAGAAAGGGCCGACATGCTCGCATCTGCTTCAAAGCGCAGGAATAGTGCTGCTTATCCCCTCCTACCTTGCTAAGCCTTTTTTACAAGGCTGTGCCGTGAGTCATGTGGGGACCGAAGCTGCAGCCTTGCACCTATGAATGTAATCTGCGTGCATGCATGGTGTGTGTGTGTGTGTGTGTGTGTGTGTGTGCGTGTGTGTGTGTGTGTGCGTGTGTGTGTGTGCCTGTACACAGTTTATACAGTAAGGATGCTGAGTCTCAGTACTTTTACTTCATGAAATCAACCTGTTCACACACTTCTCTCAATTTGTCTCAATATTTCATGAAATAGTAAGTTTGAACAAATTACGAGGGAATCATTGAGCCGTGGGGATTATTAAAAAATTTAAACTGTTATATCATCTATTGAGAGTCATAATCACAAAACTAGTAAAAACGTTAATGTTCTTTGAAGACCCCAGATATTTATTAGAGAACTTCAGTGAAGACACAGATGAGGACAAGCTCAAATAGGGGTAAGATCATAAAACAGTAGCCCAAAAATGAAACATTTCAAAGAGAACTGTTCAAACTGCTACTCATAAATGCAAAAAGTGTGGCACAAGTGGAAACTTGCCATGAAACTGAAAATGTAGGTTTGGATTTTTGACCCTCTTAATAATAAATACATTCATTTAAAAACTGCTTTTAGTGTTTTCTTGTGTTGTCTTTGGTTAATATTTAAATAAATCTGATGTTCTGAAAAAACATAAGTGTGACAAGCATGCAAAAAAAAGGGAAAACAGGATATTCACATTCGTTCACAGCACTATACTTTCAATTGTATTTAATCAAAAGTATTTATTTAACTGTGACTTCAAAATTCTATACATGTCACGAGATTTCCAATTTTTCTTTTTTTGAGTATCTACAACCACACGAAACTTTAAATCTCCCCATTAATCACCAGAATCCCCCAAAATCATTTCTCCTTGATGTGATTGCAGTGCAGATTTAAAAGTTCAGCCAACTAAACTATAAATAGACTGAGGCTTAATCATCAGAGCTGTCAAAATAATTAGCGTCCTGATTTATATTCGACATTTCATAATCGCTGAAATACTCCGTCTTTGGAAAGAAAACTTCAACACCAACTAAACTTAAACCAAGTTATTTTTCCTTGGACAGCAACCGTAATCTTGCTTACGGCGACAAACCAGCCTAAAACTGTTTGCCTGGATGTTTGTCAATCATTTCCTCCAATGCAGGTGTTTGTTAAACCCAACTCTCAGTGCAGGAGCGTCGCATCAGCAAGTTTTTACTCTTTGACAGTCACGCAGCCGTCACTCTGTGGCGTCTCGTGTCACATGTGCTGAGGAAGAGTGTCAGAAAACCCCAGACGACGATTCCTCAACAGTATTCTGCTGGCACAGAATACTGGCAAGTGGTCATGGCAAACGGACTCCGCTCTCCTCGTCTCATTCGTCCGTGACGGGATGGTTTCGACTCTGAGCTCACAGACTCATGTCTGTCATATTAATTGCGATGGCAAAAAAAACAACCTGAAAACACTGAGGTTACAAAAAAAGTAACTAAGAAATAAATCACAAAGGCATTAAATTACAGAACAATATCAAAGTGGAAAATTACTTTTGGGAAATAGAAATTAATTTCAGACAATATCAGTCGATATCAGTCGGGTAATATCTCAGTATTGAATTAGATCTCAGGTAACTCCTGAAGTGGCGTTTTTGTCTCGTTCCACTTCCTTCATGATTAGCCTCTTAGTCACCATGAACTCAACTCTGGAATTACTTGGAAACCCTGAAATCTGATCCCACCAGGTAACACACCCTGCCTGCTGTAACTCCAACACGTTGCACGAAGGATACGCCTGATTTCACTTACAAAGATGTTGTTCAGATCTGGGAATAATTCTACATGTAAGTCAGAAATCCAACAGGATTTACAATTTACTTTGGCAGCAATGCAAATCAGTAGTAATGAATTGTGTGTAGCTGGCTAGAGTATGTTAGTAGTGAGTTACCGCAGGAAAGATGTCTGAGTTTGACTCAAGCTTTTGCCTGACAGAAAAGTCCCGCAAGAAAAAAAAAAAAAACATAGAATAAACGATTAAATAATCTTAAGACCACTGATTGACATATTTCAGGCCAACTTACTTCTTTAAAATGGATTTAAGACATTTTAAGGCCTTGATTTCAGATACATTAATTTGAAGCTTTTTGAGGATCATATGCATCAGCAGACAACAATAAGGCTTATCCAGATAAGCAAAGAGTAGTACTAATGAAACAAGAAGCTCATCAAATTTCAGTATCTGTCTTGAAATAAGACAACAAATTCTAGAAAACTGTACTGCTTTATGTACAAATAATGTGAAATTGTGGTTGAAAGTAAACGGTATAAACATGAAGACGTCTATTCAAGTCTAAAAGTGGTTTAAAGGGGGTTGGAGTTCAGCATTTTTGTTTAGTCAATTTGGACGAGACCTCTGGGTTGAAAATATCTAATATTCAGCATATGTTTCCTGAGCTCAAGGACACTTAAGTTTAAAAATGTCCATGGAAGTGTAGTTTTTAGACATCAGGGAGAATTCCTGTGCTTTATTCTTCTAGGTACGAGCCAAACAGGGGATTCGATATTCAGAAGTCATTATTTATCCAACAGAAATTGTGCTTCCACACACCCTCCCCTCCCTTTGGCTTCATTGTTTTTGCAAACCTCGCTCCCTCACTTTAACAGTCCAGTTGTTCTCTCCTGCCTGACAGCTGTAGGCTGCCTGATGCCGTAAACTGCAACCCAAGGTGAAAAGGGCCATAAAAGCAGAGAGTAAAACCTAGCCGCAGGGCGGACGGTCTTTAAAACAGGTCACCGAATGGAAATCTATTATGCTGGGTACAGATGTTGCAGGGAGCACACAGGGTAAACACGGGTCTGTAGCGTCAAGTTATGTAATAACACCACAATATGTAATAAAGTAGTAAAGATAAAACATAAAAATCATTAAAATCCTTGAACGCATTGCGCGATACTTTCTGCAACAAATCCAATAACATCATCACATTTTGCATCGATTATTACAAAATTCAGAGGCAACTCTTTTTTTTTTATTATTTAGAAATGAATGTAATGTAATGTAATAATGTAGCACATTATGTAATAAACAATCACAAACGGTTTGTGTTCATCTTAGCCATCATACTGCGATCATAACAATCATGATGTAGATTCTAAACACAATTAAATCAAATGCTGAACTTTTGGTCATTGAGTTGCCTTTTCACACTCATAGCCAGAACCCTGGGTGTTAAACCTACATGCCATTCAAGGCAAAAAGATTCAAAGGATTTTTAGTGCATTTTACGTCAGATATTACAAAATACAGTTTCATTACATTTTAAAACCAAATTGTATTATGTTATTACATATTGTGGTGTTACTACATGCATTATAAGGACTGAAGTCACAAAAGTCAGAGATCAAAAAGTGCTTCTTAAAATTTTGTCACACCAAGAGTCTCGCCTCAACTCTACTTAGGTGAAAATCTCCAAAATGAGGCTCCCGCATCGAGTCACGCTACTTGAGGATGATGGTGATTCAGAACTAATTCAATTGGCAAACAAGATCAGGGAGTGCCGGTTATCTCATAAGACATAATCATCCCCATTTGGTTCGTAATCAAAAGAACCGTGTCAAAGGAGCATGACAAGTACGGGGTGGCAAACGGGGGGAGGAAAGAGTCGAGATGAACAAGGCAGGCGACTAAAACCGAGAGGAGGACAGAGGTGCAAAGGCGAGAGGGAGAGACAAGGTTAATTGTGTGCCGAATCACTGTCAAACGGCCGGCATCAAGCTTGGAAATCTTCCCATTAATTTGAATTAAGGGTCTGATATTGGCTCCTGTGCTCGGCTCGCTCTCCCTCCTCCTCCTCCTCCTCCGCCACAGCCGTCTTCCGTCGTCCTTACAGCTTGGCGAGCCTTGTGCACGGGTCGCCTTCAGTGGCGGCGGTGACAGCGGCTATATTTCACCAGCGTGCGCCGTTGGCCTGTCCTTTAGTGATAAGCTGTAATAGATCTACTCTCTCAACTCAGCATGGCCTTTTCACGGGAACGGAGAGGAAAGGCGGAAAGGAAAAAGAAGGGAAAATACTGACTTTCTTTTGGAAGGTAATCATACAAAGGGAGAAGATGTTGGAAGAAACTGAGTCAGCTTAAATAATAAAAGAAAGAAAGAAAGAAAGATAGGAAAGGATGGAGGTGAGGGGAGGGAGTGACGTAGAAAGAGAGCATGAAAAATGAGGCTCGTTGAGAGATAAGAGGGGGATTAACCTTGCTGGTAATGAAGGGAGGGTGTGGCGAGAAGATGGAGGGAGGCAGAGAGGGGGAGATAATTAATGAGCTTGCCCTTCCCGTGACTCC